AACCTCATGAGGTTCACACGGGCCCACTTCTCCAGCTTGTCCAGGTCCCTCTGGATGGCATCCCGTCCCTCAGGTGTGTCGACCGCACCACTCAGCTTGGTGTCATCTGCAAACTTGCTGAGGGTGCACTCGATCCCACTGTCTATGTCATTGATGAAGATATTGAACAGTACATACCAGTCCCAATACAGACCCCTGTGGGACAACACTCATCACCAATCTCCACCTGGAGGACCACTACCCTCTGGATGCGACCATCCAGCTAATTCCTCATCCACTGGACAGTCCACCCATCAAATCCATATCTCTCCAATTTAGAGAGAAGGATGTTGGGGGGGACCGTGTCAAAGGCCTTACAGAAGTCCAGATGTCCGAGAGACAAAGCAGGAAAGACCTGACCAGGCAGTGTGTCACTGATGGGGAGAGTGCAGCATCAGCCGTCAGTGAAGGTGAGACCCCATGTGCAAAGCCTCAGCCTGAAGCGTGAACTGAACACGTGACAAAGCTGAGCCTAAGAACTGCCACCCACCCCCAGCAAAATCTGGCTGATGCTGGCTCACATGCTATTGTCACTACTAACGCCTAACCACAGCCACGCCGTACACGGGCACAGAGTGCAGCGCTCAGGGTGTGACCGGGGTGCTGTGACATTCAGATTCAGCTGAAGTGTCCAAAACAGCCACAAGCTGGTTGCCCACCAGGGCTTGTTTGCTTAGAGGTGACTCACAGACCCTTGGGACGCCATCACACAGCCGGCAGCAAGACCCCTGCAGCATGCTGACCTGTGTCCAGCAGCACACCCTGATGACATGCTTTGCAGTCCTCCAGCTGCTGGTGTTGGAGGGAGACAAGCAGATGCTCAGACAGTGCCCCAGCACAGCCCTATCTTGGGGCAGCTTGATGAAGTTTAGCCCAGGCAGAGAGCCTGGGACAGAACGTGAAATAAGTTTTCACCCCCTTCCCTTGCGACACACCTACCCCTATCCCACCCACACACTTTACATTAAATCCATAGAAAACACACTGAAAAAATACCGAGGAGGTCCTGGCAACATTATAGAATGCTTTAATACTAATTAAATAGAATATGTAACTAAATGAGCAACTTCTCATGTAACTGGTTTCCCTCCACTCAGCCACTTCATTGGTCTTCCAAAGGGAAAGATTCAAACACAATTTCACACACACACACACACACACTCTACCTGTACTTCCCCTTATAATGCATCGCAGACTATGAGCAACCAGACTGGGGCAGACCAGGAGCCCACTCAGCCTGCTGACCTGTGTCAGCCAGCAACTCTTAGCAAGATGGTAGAAACCCCAGTTCTTCTACACTGCACAGGATAAGAACTGGCATGCCCTGCCAACCTTTGACAGTCACAAATTTAGGGATTTCTTGACACCGGCAGTTTAATCACTACTGCTAGACCTACGCTTCACGAAGAGATCTCGCCCCTTCAGGAATGCACATATATTTTTGGCTTCCACAACATCCTGTGACGATGAGTTACATGGTTTGATTACATGCTGTGTGAAAAAGCATTTCCTCTGTTCACCTTAAAAGCAGCCCACTTTAGACTGTGATTCTTGAAGTTCCTCCTCCTGCATGTCTGCATGCTTTTTGTGTGTGTGTGTGGTTTGTTTTTTTTTTCTCGACCACATCTTTGCTTGTTTCCACAGTTCAGCTCTTACTGTTGCTGGAGAGATTCACAAGAGCAACCAGTCGAACTTTGGGATTGTGGAGCCTGATAAAGACAATTTTCTATTTTCTTTTGCAGCGATAGGGGAAGAGTAGGCGTACAGTAAATGTCAGGGTGACATCGCATCATGAGTTGCATGAGGTTCTCCGTGCCTTGCCCCTAAGAGTCTCCTTTGCAACCAAAAGGAGAACAAAAACCTCCTTGGCAGTACATGTGCAGGGGCTGGAAACTCCTGCTGATGTCACATCTACCCTTAAAAGGCTCTGCACCCTTGAAACTGCAACCTGAATGCTGCAAGCCTGAAGGAACCAAAGTCCACGAAGAGTCATTCAGCCCCACAAAAGTCCCCTTTCACTTTAAAGGTGAACTGCAAAGCAAAAATGAAAATTTAGTTCTGTCCCATTTCTGTGTTGAATGTTCTCTGTAACAGGCTGTGGGGGAGGTATCCACCGTGGAAATAATTTTTAATTTCTTTTCTAGAAAAAAGATCCCTCCTCTTCCCATGCCCCCTGAAGCCCACCCACTCCCTTGCTGTGCATGCACGTTGCTCCATCGCTGGAAGCCCACGGTACGTGGCAACACTGAACCGATGGAAGGGCTGACTTTCTGTTCCCCGGGCAGAAAAACATGTTTCATGCAAACTATGCCTGTGCTGCAGATGCCTCACAATGCAGGGCTAACAAGAACAGAAACGTGAGTGTAGAGGAAACCCATCCTTTCTTGTTTGCTCTGAGAGTCAGCAAGCAGGAGAGCTGTTGAGCCCGTATCCCTGTTTCCTTCACTCCTTGCCCAAGCCATGTTTCAGAAATTCCCCGGCCACAGACAGCTTGGTTATCCTGACCACACATACAGTCAGGCGGTATGGGAGAGCAGATTGCCTCTGGGACAGAAGTCCTGCAGAGACATTTGACTGTAAAAGGCAGTAAAAGACCACGCCATGCTTCAGAGAAGCAGCGCTGAACTGCTGGAAACCTTCAGATAAGTTCTGGTGAACAGAAACCCCAAAGCCGTTCTTTCCCCTCCATTCCCCATTTCTCTGCCCTTCTGAACTGCTTTGCCTTTTTTTGATCTTACCTTGTGTTACCTCGCTTCGCACACAACCCACAGAGCAACACATGTGAAGGGAAAGGACCTTCTTGGTGGGCCTGGAGTCCTTTGCCCCCCATGTAAGCAGCAGGTAAGACAGCGGATCTGCACATTTTTTCAACTGACAGTTCTGCAGAAAGCTCTGAGGCATATTGTCGGTGGCCCTCCAAAACCGGGAGGGTCAAAACAGCC